GTTTATTTGAAAAGAGCAATCCCTAGAGTTTCTTGCTCGTTCTTCTCGGGAGGTCAGCGTAGTGAACGAGCAGTAGCTTAAATGTGACGATTTCAAGTGTAAATTTATTTTACCTATGGAATAAATAATCTTTGACTTTGACTTTGACTTTGAAAAAAGTACGTAACAAGATCTAGGTTTTCGGAAAAAAAATATGGCCGGCTTTTGAAGTTATTATTTTAATTTTAAGTATATTATGAAGAAAAACGAAGAAAGAAATAGTGATGAAGAAAGTTAGAACTATGTTCCTTATCTTAAACTAAATTTAGAAAAACTTTATCCTGAAAATTCCACTAGTTACGAATTCAAAGTTTTTGTTCAAAGTGATAGAAGATAATATGATTTGAGTGTAAGTGAAAACATAAATATTGACTCCCGCTGCTTAAAAAACTTGAATAAGTGAACTAAGTTATTTAAGAGAAATTGTAAACATAATCTATTAGAACTACAATGGAAAATATTACTGAGTATCCCGATAATTAAACGAAGACATGGCTGAAAGTACTTGTATCCAAGCCAAAACTCTTAATAAAAAAATCTAGGTTTTCACGATTGCTACACATAGGAAATGAAACTATTTTATTTTATGTCTTTATTAAATGGCGTATAATTGTTTTTTTCGCAGTTCCAACAAGCTTGACTGCTAGTGCGGTCTTTCTTATATTAGACAAACGAAACGAAGTATTTGTAGCAGCGTCAAAGAACATATAACTGATTTCAAACACCGTCGCGTAAACAAGTCTGCTCCGGCCGGCTCGAATAAATTTTTTGTAAGTGTTCGGTCTATGTATTTATAATTATAAAAATAAGGTATTTAATTAATAACTTTCGTAACTATAGTGAAAAAATAGGGTTGTTCACATTAATATTAAACTTAACCGGTTGATGACTTACCACCTCAGTCAACTGTGACCATGGGACCTGTAAAGGGCCCGAAACGTTGGTTTATTTGAAAAAACAAATATACGCGATTTAAATCCGGGAAAATAGTTTCTTTTCCTAATTTCACATCAAACTGTTATAAAGCGTTAACGTATAAAAAATAGATTTTCCGATTTGCTTTGGTATTTTACGTGGATGCTGTTTTCCTGAAAATGTCAGAGGATAAAACAAATAAGTCACATTACGATACGATGTGAGATAAATTGCCCTTTTTACCGCATCTCAATACCGGTTCTAATCCTGTCCTAACCCGTGAGTTTCTCGGAATTTGCGCGCGAAATTTAATTTGAAATTCACCATGAACTTTTCGGTGAAGAAAAACGCCCGCATAGGGTTAGCATGGCTGAATAGTCTGACATAGACAGCCACAAACATCGAGTATATAACCAGAAATAGAGGCGAAATGTCATTTGATTTGTTTGAAAACTATTCTGCCATATCATTACTGTGACAACTGCGCTCCGATTGGCTAGCCCGAGTTCGAAACAATTGACGGGTGTCGTCAATTGTTTCACTTCAAATCGGCCAGTTTAACTTACCTTTGCTATAATGGACGAAAATTTAAAAATTACATATTTAATAATGAAACGTGATTCCGTGTTATTTGTAATTAGATGTTTTGCTGTTTTTCCCACACCACCGAATGGAACAGCCCCTCATTGCTAGGGATATTATCTTTATTACAATAAATACAGAATATTTTTGGAATATACGGAGACGTATGTACATACAGGTCAGTTGCTGGCGCTATACTATTTCAGTTTTCTAATTTGTGATTTCAGCGCAAACGAGAGTTAAGTGATATAAGGCCCGTTTACCTGATGAGGTGCCAGGCATGGATGGCCCTTATTTCGTCACTACTCGATGGCCACAAATTACACCCAAACTCACGAGAGAAATAAATGTAGGCCATACAAATATTTTTCCCGGCCCGGGATTGAACCCGGGACCTCTGCGTGACAGTCCAGCATGGAAACCGTTCGGCCACGGAGGCAGTTAAGTGGGTTGATAACCAATTGCTAAAAAAAGTTTATTCATTCAGGTCACGATTATAAAAGAACTACTAACATCTATTTACAGCATCTTCACTAATAAGTTATATGTACAATACATATATAGAAATAATAACATAATGTGTATGTATCTACTCACAGAATATGTGTACCTACTATAATTTCAAGCCTACTAACCTGTCCTATACATGAGAAACATTAAATTGAAAACAACAACGAATCATTTAGAACAACATGCGATTGTGATGCAAAATACCAAGTCGTACTGGAAAATTCCGAAAGATGGCAGCACCTATAAAACATCCCAAAAGCTTAAACTGCAACCGTACTTTGAAAGTTCCGGAAAAACTAACTAGATGGCGCTTATACTAAAAGGATTTAAAAAAGTATTCAATGGCACGTGAGATTTATTAAACCTAGACAGTAAATAATTACAAAACACAACAGTATAATCTATGCTTAACTAATTAGATACCATTAGTACGAAAAACTTTTACAACACAGTCGATGGTCGATTAGACAATTTTCTTAGACTATTTTTATAATATCATTGGAGTAAACATTGTCAAGTCGTGGTTCAAGAGTTTATCAACTGTTACTAGTGTTAATAATAATTTAATAAACAAACAGAAAACAAAAAACAATCCAAGCTATCTCCAAAAACCAAACAACATTAAGTTTGTTAATCCGTGACTATCACATAATAAGGCGTCATCATGACGTTACAGTTATCGTTCTTAGCAGTAATATAGAGGTACCCATCGGAGCCCCAACTCTCGCCCCACGAATTCTTGATGACCCAGAACAGCTCGCCGTCCTTATAGCCATACCCGATCGCAGATACCGCGTGGTTTATGCCGCCTACGGGGCTATATTAACAAAGAAAGTTATCGGTAAAGAGCAAGACATAACAAAATAACAGCTAATAAGAAATCCCTTGCAGTAAGTCCAAAGGTACAGTCGGCACATCTAGATAAAGTGATTTCTATAGTCGTCATCAACACATCGATACCTCCAGTCATTGATCAGTACGCCAACTTAAATTCTAGGTCGTTTTAATTTTAATGTCTTATTTTATTTACTAATATGTTAGCCTCAATAATATTCTCTGATAAATATAATACTATTCTACTGCTAAGATTAAATACCTTAATGTCATTACTATAATAAAAGTAGATTTAATGTTACTAAAATTAGGTTCCGCTAGATGGCGTCACAATGTTCCTTATACCGCTTAATAATAGGGGTTTAAAATATGAAATTGCCGATTTATTTTACTGGCCACTTTAAATTAAAATTAAACCTGTATGGTGTCCGATTTCAGAGTGAAACGTTTTTCACACGAAAAGTAAAACATGCTTAACTTAAAAAACATGATATTTGATTGTTCGACTTTCAATTGTTTTTACATTCAGCTTTTAACGTGAAGACAGATACAGCGAAAATCTGAGTACCTAATTTTCGAATACGAATTTCCACATGGAGTTAACGTAGCAGAAACTGTCAATGCTGTATTTGGAGAGGATACGGCATACGCAAATACGGCAAACGCCGGCAATACGGCAAATTACGATTTGAAGAAAGAACCACGAGGAAGACCAGTCACAAATGTAAATAACGTTGAATTGAAGGTAATGATGGAAGCCGATCCGTATCAAACTACCACGAAACGTCATGGTTTAATGTTAGCATACCCACAATATGACATATGGCGTTTGAATAATGACGACGGAACTCGCAGCAAAACAGCTTCACCGTTATTGCTCTATGATAACGCAACACCTCACACTGCTTGAGAAACAGTTTTACCACTACAAGACCTGCAGATATAAATTATCCATCATCCTACATATTCGTCGGACCTCGCCCCGACCGACTACCATTTTTTCCCGCAATTTGATTTTTTTTTGTATGGAAATAAAATTCCCAGGAAGCAATACAAAAATCCCTTCACACAGCTGTGGAGTCCAGGTCTCCAGACTTCTATCGCAAAGGTTTAAATGACCTTCCGATTACATGGCAGAAATATATAGACAACAAGGGAAAAAACTTTGATTAAACAAATATATTTAATCTTAAAAAAAATTGTTTTAATTTTTCAGTGCGAAACGGCAATTTCATACTTTAACCCCTAATATTAGAATGTTTACTTTTATACAATGTAATGATTGATTTAGATAATGATACTTTAAATAATGTTATTAATTATAAGATTGTACCTTAATAAAATAACTTCTGCTAATGTCTGTTTTAAATAATTATTTTTTGATTTGAAATAGTGCTTCTGTTAGATGACGCTAGCGGGAGTAGATAAATTGTAATGCGATATCGTTTTTTATTCAGACTGGATTGTATTTTGGAAGTTGAAAGATTGGAATCGTTTGAGTAGAAATAAAAGCTAAGTACAGTATCACGTGTGTTCTTCCGACATTTTCCTGCTAACAAATATCATAATATTTTTTTTATAATTCCCTGAATTTTGTGAAAAATAAACAAAACAAAACTAATTTTTTGAAAAAAAAATAAAGACACATTTATTTTAGAGTTTTGTCTTGGATACATATCCTCCATGTCCTTTGAGCCATATCTTCGTTTAATTAGCGGTATCGTCATTACATATTTTCCATTGTGGTTCTACATATTATGTTTTCACTTTCTCATAAATAACTTAGTTCTCTTGTTTGGGCTTCCTAAATAGTCTTTTAAGCGGCGGGAGTCAATATTTATGTTTTCACTTTCACTTATTATATCACATTATTGTCACTTTGAACAAAAACTTTGAATTCGTAATTATTGGAATTTTCAGGATAACCTCTTTTGTTATTTGGTTTAAAATAAGGAATATAGTTATAACTTTCTCCATCACTATTTCTTTCTTCGTATTTTCTTCATAAAAACTGTACTTGTAACTTCAAAAGCCCCAAAATAAAGACACAAAAGAACAAAATAAAAACATCCAAAAAATTTACATGACGTAGTATTCATTGGAGGTATCCACATTATACATCTCATTGCTATCCAACAAAAACTAAGCCCTTTAGGCCATAATCCGCCACACTGTCCCAGTTGAGGACAATTATATAAGCAGAGCTTTGAATAAAAATCACAGTTACATACAGTGACAATACGAAGTAAGCAAAATAATAACAGATACATATATGACAGATATAGAATATCAAATATACAAAAAAAGACTTATAAAATAGGACAAGGTGTTTATAATTAAAATAATAATAATAATGTTTATTTCGCAAAATAGTTTACAACATGATAATGTAGTCTCTGACTACTGAGCCTGTGTGACAGGAGCCAGTGTCATCTCCCAAATTTTGATAAGGCTTAGTGTATTTCATGACAAAAAGAAGAAAGTGATAGAATTTATTATAGTTATAATATTGTAGTGTATTTTTTATTTCCGTTATACACTATGCTCCTTTAAATGGTCAGTGGTTTTTTATCAGTCTGTATACAGGGTGTCCAGTAAGTAGCACGACAAACTGCGTGGGGTGATAGCCTAGTTCGAGGCCTACCTAAACAACATAAAGTATGTTCCGCAAAAATCAGTGGTTCTCAAGTTATGTAGTATTTAGTATAATTTAAAAAAATCTCTAACCTGCATCAGTTTTTCATTTTAATTTACATAAAAAACTAATTTAGGGATTTTTTTTTCAGCTGTAATTATTTTTGAATAGTGGTTCAACATAATAGTAAATGATAGGTTCCTAAGAAAAGCCGCAAAAAATGTTAAAAAGGTCGTCAAACTTTTTTTCCCAGTTTTTTATTTCTTGACCTTTTATGTTAACCTAAAGTGGAGTAAAGAAAATGTATGGGGCTGTTTTATTTAACCTTTTTAAAAACATGTCTGTTTATTGCTGATTTCAAAAAAAAAAAAACACTTGTGGATTCTCATTACAAAAAACCAAAAAATGCTACTTTTATACAAAGTCAGAAAGAAAGTGAACTTTCGACTTAATGTGTAAAACCTTTCAGTAATGTTTTTGTTAGCATATTGATACTCAATATTTATTGCCGGTGTGAAAAAAAGCAGTATAAGGTACAGGTAAGGTACATTACTAAAATAAAACAAAAAATACAGTTAATATTTTTAATAAAAAAAAATTACAGCAAATGTTCGAATTGCCTGCCTCTAGCTCGAATACATAATCGACAACGTCTTAAAAATTGCGTTCTAAGCCTTCTTAGATTCATTTGCGTGATTTCGCGCGAAGCTGCGTTTATTCTGGCTCGCAGTTCTTCATCATTTCTTATTGGTTTGGCATAAATTTTATCTTTTAAACAACCCCAATAAAAGAAATCTAAGGGATTGAGGTCAGGTGACCTTGGTGGCCATAATATTGGTCCAAGTCTTCCGATCCATCTTCCTGGAAAGACTGCATTCAAATGGTTTCTTACTTCTACTGCATAATGGGCCGGACAGCCGTCATTTTGCAACCACATCTCCTGGCGTAAGTCCTCATTAACATCGGCAAGCAGCGGGGGCAAAGTTTCTCTAAGAAATTCTAAATATCTTGCCCCATTTAAAACTTGCGGCAGTTCCACGGGTCCTATGATTTCCTCGTTGAAAATCCCAGTCCATAAATTATTTTAAATTGGTACTGGGACCGATCTTCTCTGGCTTCATGTGCGTTTGCCAGTTGCCAGTTGTGCAAGTTGTGCATATTAAAAAATCCATCTTTTCGACACGCCGATTCGTCGGTCCAAAGTATTTTGTTGAAGAACAATGGATCTTCTTGATGCATTTGAAGCATGCGACGACAAAAAAATCATTCTTTGTTCGTAATCTCTGTCCATTAGCGTTTGCACACGTTGAATATGAAACGGGTAGTATCCATGTCTTTGAAGCACAAAATGAACCGTAGACTTAGGGATACCCGTGCGCAGTGAAATTCCCCGCACCGAAGTAGATGGATCGTCTTGTCGTTCTTGAAGAATAATGTCCTCGTCGGCAACTTGGGGCCGTCCACCGCCGCCTCGCTGACCAGGCAGTCTTCCTTGCGTGTAGGCGTTATGGATTCGCGTAAACATTTCATGATGTGGATGTCTTCGGTCAGGGTATCGTTCCTGATAAAGGCGCGCTGCAGCACGGGAGATTTGGCCCGCTTCCCCGTAAATAACGTGCATTTCAGCGTACTCTCTTTGAGTGTAAGGTTCATAAACGCGGCGATTAGCTGCCATGTTCAACAACAACAACAACAGCACAGTGTTTTCGGCAGTTGAAAATTTCACAAAAAATCCAAATAGCTAAGTGCAGTCCGTAGTCCAAAAGCTTGCCAAGTTGTCGCAGGGTAATCACAAACACATTAAAGTCCAAATCGAAAGGCAGAAACAAGAGTCCGGTGTAAATAAATAATAGGTCGGTCGGTAGGAGTCAAAAAGTACTTGGCGATGAAAAAGTTGTGCGTGTGCGCGTGATGACTAACGGCAACGTACTAGATCGGCCTGTCCAAACTGGTTCGGCAGGTAGATAGGTCGCTTGTGGGGTGGGGCAAGCCGTTCACTATTGTTTCTTTCCCATCCACAGGGAGTGAGAGAGAAATGGCAAACGTGTTTTAGATGCAGCCGAATTGCTGGGCTAGTGTTATTACGGTGTTTTAGAAAAGTAACGATATTCTTGATTTCTAGAAAATTTTTACTCATTGGTTAAAAATATTTTTATTTTATTTTATGGGAATGGGAATCCATAAGTGTTGTACTTTTTTGAAATCAGCAATGAACAGACATGTTTTAAAAAAGGTTAAATAAAACAGCCCCATACATTTTTTTTACACCACTGTAGGTTAACATAAAAGGTCAAGAAATAAAAAATTAAGGAAAAAAGTTTGACGACCTTTTTAATATTTTTTGCGGCTTTTCTTAGGAACCGAACATTTACTATTATGTTGAACCAATATTCAAGAATAATTACAGCTGAAAAAAAATCCTTAAATTAGTTTTTTATGTAAATTAAAATTAAAATCTGATGCAGGGAAGGGATTTTTTAAAATTATACTAAATACTACATAACTTGAGAACCACTGATTTTTGCGGAACATACTTTATGTTGTCTAGGTAGGCCTTGACCTAGGCTATCACCCCACGCAGTTTGTCGTGCTACTTACTGGACACCCACGAACGTAACAATTATTTAAAAATCGTGAAAAACCTGAGGTAAATTTCTTAAAATGTCCAGCAATTTCATTTCAATCTCTTTACACTAACGTTTCTAATATAATTATTATTACAAGTTGGTTACATATGAATATGCGAATTGTGATAAATATGTCACTGTCACTCATATGGGTATGTGTGTTTATATACAGTAAGTACTGAGGTATTGCACGAAATTTTCGTGATGATAAAATTGTCGCCACAAAAACATTCGTTATAATTTTGAGGTTGGCTCAGTTTTTGGTTTAATTTATAATTATTTAATTCCAATTACTACTACAGTAGGGCTTCCGTTTCATGATAATTTAAAGTTATATATATATATATATTATATATATATATAATACCAAAGAGATGTGATAAAAACTAATTTTATAGATATCAATTAATTATGCCAGTTTTTAGTTTCTACCTTCTTCTCCTTATCGTATCGACGGTAAACAGTATACTATTGTGGCCTATTGTCTAAAGAATGTGCTAATGTATTACACGACAGTAAGTACTTCACCCGATCATATAAAATACCGAAAACAGTTCAAAATGAAAGTCTTAAACGAATTTTTTAAGGGTAAAATATCTAACGTTGTACGTAATTTCGCATCGCATAATTATTTATTGCTAAGATTTTATTTTTAATTAATTATGTTTAGTTTTGTTTTTTGTTATTCATTTTCTGTTTGTTTTAATTTAGTTTGTTTTAGTTTAAATTTAGTTCTGTTTTATTATTTTTTTTTTACTTTTTATTTTTTACTGTTTATTATTGTGTTGTTGTGTTATGTAATAAATGTATTCTATTCTATTCTAATTTTGAAGATTTCTCTTTAAGTACCTACTACATAGAACCTGCAAAATTTTGGTTTTCAACAGGAATCCTATAATTGTTAAATATATCAGTTTGAAGCCTTTGAATTACGATAGGGCACAATTTCCTGAATTACTTTAAGGGCGCGTTCCCATTTTTGTTAGTTTCCAGTTTAGCCTGTTCCCATATCACGACTATCAGTCGTGACTGAGTCGTGGACGTTTTTATTTTATGGTTGAACGACTGTCGTGTCTAGTTGTTCCCACTAAATACGACAATCTATCGGTTCACGACAACCACCATGTCGTTTGCACGACAGAATCTTTTGAAACTACGATACGATCTGTCGTCACAAATGTTCATCGTGACGTTTTATTTATCGTCTGATGACTGTCATTCTAGCTCTTCCCATTATTACGACAGTCTGTCGTCGTAACGTCGAAAAAGTCGTGAACGACAGTTAGCGCCCAGTTACACGAGGGGAAAGTTTTCGCGCGGCCTCGGAATCTGAATTCTATTTACTAGGCAACAACACTTAAATTCCTCTGAATAATGCAACCGCGCGGCCGCGGCCGCCGCGCGCCAGTCAGGCTTGCCCGCGTGGCCGGGACGCTCATTTAAGTTAAAACGCTAAACAAATAGAGTGTATTTTGCCACGACAGTTAGACGCATGCGGTTGCTGCGCGGCGGGAACGCGGATTCCGCTCTACGGCCGCGCGGGGTGAGCGCGATGAAATTTGTATCGAATAAATGTGCCCTTCATCGAGTTTTATTATACGTGAATAACTTCATTTAAATATATAAGCCACGACACTTTAAACTGCACGATTATCTGTCGTCACGACATAAATGGACCGCGCCCTAACTCCTATTGGCAAACAAAACCACGTAACTCTTCAATGGATTAAAGGACACAGCGGCTCACGTGGCAATGATGTAGCAGATGAACTAGCCAGGAAAGGGTCGGAGACGGACGCTGTAGGACCAGAACCGATAGTGTACCTCCCCTGCCAATGGTCCAGAACAACTATACACAAAGGTACAAAATCTTTACATAATAATACATGGACCACACTTACGGTTTGTAGACAAGCGAGGGAAGCACTCCCAACGCTCAATGCCAGTCTATCTCGAATATTAGTTAAACTTAAAAGGCAAGAGCTTCGCGCTCTAACGGGTCATGGTCCATACAATAAACACCTTTTCAATTTAGGTATCACAGACAGCCCTCTATACAGAGCGTGCATGGAGGGGGAGGAAACGGCTGCGCACATCCTACTCCAGTGCTCCGGCGTGGCCAACGACAGGGCTAAGTACCTTGGAGTGCCAAGGTCGCTCCCCGAAGTCTTCAGCTAACCAAGGAGATTGCTGAGATTCCTGGAGGAGCTTGGGTGGCACGAGTAGGACCCTGCACCCACCACACGCAAAATAGGCGCTTTGTCGTCGAGTTGCGGATACCAGACCGTTGCACCAAGTACCAAGTAACTCCTATTGGCTGTAGCGTAGTCGTAGTACTCACGACCTTCATGTAGTTTCTTTTAAACACAATTACTTACCACTCAGGATCATAAAAGATTCCGCTTTTATAAAATATCATTGCTTGAGACACATGAACGCCGAGTGCTACAGGCCCATATTTGTATATGGCGGTCTTCAACGCCTCCTCGTCATTAGGTGTGACTTCTTCGGCACTCTTTATTTTTTGCAGATGCGACATATTGCCGACTTTGCAGTAGCCATCCTGAGGAGAAATAATTTAATTATAATTTCGTTTAGAAATGATAATTAATGCTGAAGACTAAGTTGGATGCAAGTCGCATGTAAAAATAATTGAGATTATATTTACAGGCGACGATTATATTAATGGATTCTTAAAGTCAAAGTCAAAGTCAAAGATTATTTATTCCATAGGTAAAATAAATTTACACTTGAAATCGTCACATTTAAGCTACTGCTCGTTCACTACGCTGACCTCCCTGAGAAGAACGAGCAAGAAACTCTAGGGATTGCTCTTTTCAAATAAACTTAAATACCATGGAATACACTTTGAATCAAATTTGTGTGGAATCTAGAACCATGTCATCATTCCATACATCTTTATTTAACATGTAGTAAGTAGTCTTTAATTTTATGACATGACTTTTCAATCAAAATATTTTTAATGTAGTTTTTAAACTTAGGAACTTACTTCATTCATACAGGCACACCCCTTATCGCCCCACACGTCATTCGATCTTTCATTTTTTAATGTCTAAATAAGTTAATCTTGCTCTTTCCCTTTCCTACCCTACCCTCCTTTGTACTGCTAATGCGTTGGGCAAGGTAGTTGCCGGCCCTTGGGTTTCCCAGACAGTCGTTTATTTTTTTGGATAAATTTTGTGCAGATGATGTACTGGGACCCCACGGGCCAAGGGTTTTGACTCGAAAAGCTGCAACTAGGCAGTTGGAGCCAAGATCCTGGTACTTATTACTTTTCATTATTTCCGCCAGGTCAGCTGCGGAGCCAGCCCTAATTGAATATCACAGTGGTGGCACATCCTGACATTCAATAAAATCAAGAGTCAGATTTTTTCACATCGCTAACACATTGCCAGCTGTAGCACTCAATGCCTTCAGTAATTCCGGTGTTCATAATTAATGAAAAATTAAGAAATTAAATTAATTAAAGATAGATACAAAGGGGAACCATATCTGCACAAAGGGGAACACTGCTAGCTTCAAGGGGACCTAGAATAAAATTGAGCTGTTTCTCCCATCCCAGTTTTAATCTTTTATTGTATTTTTATACCTTATCTGTTTAAATAATTAATAATACATTTATCTTTTAGGCCATGGGCGAGAGTGTAAAATAGATAAAAAGGGCGCGTTCAAATTAGCCTATGTTAGACGCGCTGTATCCGCGCGACTGTCAATTTTCATACAATTTCTAGAGGCGCTACAGCCGCGGCCGCGCGACTATCGCGCTGCAGTCACGTTTGGTTGCGTAGTCACGGTTAGAGAGGCGTACAAGTTAATTTTTCAAATTAACCACGATGGATGAAAATTGAATCGAAGAAATTATAAAGAATGTAAAACAACACCCTGCAATATGGGATAGCAGTTCCGCCGCGCAATAGATGCGGTTCTAACAGCGGCTTATTTGAAAGCGCCTTAAAAATAATGTATTAAGCAACCACACCAATTGCCAATTTCGAACTAGGGAATTCCCTGTACCATAGGCACAACCCAGAACATCCAAACAAGCTGCTTTGATTGCCTCTCCCGATCGGGAAGTGCGTCTTTTCCGAGTCAAGGTGCATAACTGCGAATCACAACTGGCCGACCGGAAACTTTTGACATTTTAAATCGGAACAATATTTAACTTAACTCACAAATTAGAAAGATATAGTAGGAATCAGGTTCATCTTCTTGCTCAGAAACCCACCTGATTTCGAGACTACCCGATCGGCTCGATTCTGCTCGATCAAAATCAGGACGCAGAACACCCAGGCCAGAACCGATTTAGATAAGTTCATTTCTCAAATTGGTCCTACCGGGAATAAAACCGTTATCCAGCGCCCACAATGCAAACCGCTAGGCCAGGAAGGTCGGCTGATTCTACTTCTAATAGAGGTCACAAATGGTTTCACATGCTCAGTATGACAGCAGTACTGTACCACAGTTTTTCACCTTCTACTACTCACCATTACTAACTTATGTATACTTATATATACTTTTTCATGATAGGCTTACCTCTTCCAAATAAGGCCCGTATTCGTCTACGGTGGGGATCCCATGAGCTTTCACATATTCAAACACAGATCCTATGGACAACGTCCCCTGGCATCCTTCGCAGTCGTAACTAGAAATAACAGGTGAAAAAAATCTATTGTCAGATAAAAAAGTGCTGTACCAACTTGAAAACTTATCCGTGAGAACCGACAGAGATGTGTGATATTTGACATGGATATGAAAGGTGTGAGTATGGAAATAATAACGCACATACAATCAACATAGCCCCGCATTAGGCAAACCCTGTGTCGCGGGTGCCATGGACACACACATAGACAACCACAAATTACACCCAAACTCACGAGAGAAATACATGTAGGCCATACAAATATTTCTCCCGGCCCGGGAATCGAACCTGGGAAATGATGGCCCATAGGCGAGAGTGGAAGAAAAATACATGTTGTGTCGACCCCACCTAGCGTGAGATAAGGACAGGAAGATGAAAAAGAAGATAAACAAAGTTTATATTGTCAAATCTACGTTTGTCATTTCATACCGATATATCATACCGAACAACATTTTCATAACGATATTTAACTAGCTATCACATAGGTTCTAGCAGCCATTATTACGAAGACTCGACTTAGGCTTTTATTATTGAGTAACGGGACGAACAAGTCGTACGCCTGTCTGTAGCAGTTGCAGTGCCACTCAGAGCTTTAAATCGCAAAGATCTGATGGACGCTGAAACTGTACCCGTCGCCCTGAGACATATGTTGAGAAGTCCCATATGCCTGTAATTTCACCATCACCCATTAATGCTCCCATTACTGCTTGGCGGCAGAAATCAGTAAGGTGAGCTCCTTGTGAAAGAGTTCGTCTAGTGAAGTACTGCCACCATACGTATTTCTACCATCAAGCTGTAATGTGACACAAACGCTGCCAGAATCTAGCTATAACACATAAGAATGGAGTATTTCAGGCTTTGTAGGCGAATGAAGCAGGAGGAACATACAACATGAAGCTCTGTATTGAACCAAATAATATGTAACCGTCAAAATTGTAACTAAAACTATTAAGTTTCAAGGTCTGTAATCAGAGTTCCATCTTGCACCTAACGTTTAGGATAGTAAAGCATACCAATCTGTTTACACCACGATTCAAATACAGTTGGATGGAAATAAATCTAATACGTACTCCCAAGCACAATCTACAAGTGCCTGTTCACTGAAATCCAAAATTCGCCCTCCATTGGAATGTGCAATCGCTCCTTCCAACGTTGCTGCGGCTGCAAATGCCCAGCATGACCCGCAATGAGCCTGGTCTGCAACAAAAACAGAAGAAACGTTTTCATTAGACACGACCATAGAATTTGCAAGCGGAAAAGGAAGCCCAGATGCCATGGATTGTTTCACGGATATAAGAGACCCTTTACAAGAACCAAGGTGAGAAACATAATGTAATGTACAGTTATCTTATGATAGAGTGAGGAATAGTGTGATCGGTGAACGATGTGGTCTGCATGAAAAAAAATTAAAAAAGTAAAAAAAATATATAGAGGTAACCATTGACTTACAAATAAATGGATGACGGGTACAATACAAAAACCACGAAAAAAATGTCCCAACTCAACCTATTTAAACGTAGTGACATGTAAAGGAATATGAAAAAGCTAAAACGTTGAATTTAAATTGTAATGTCATCGCAGTAATGTCTAATTTTGCTTACTTCGCTGTCAGTCGAACAAGCGAAGACTAAAGCGTGAATGACGCTCTGTATACGATTTTAACGGCCTATAAGTTCGGACACTTTTTATCGCGGACCCGACGTCCATATAATTGTAAGTCAATGGAGGTAGCACACGAAGTTGATGATTGAAAGTATAGTGACGAAAGAAATGTTTTTATAGTGAAAAGGAAGATTCTACGTGGATTCTACAATACTAGAAGCAGATAGCCACAAAAACTGATAACATTCTTCAAAAGGCTGGAGTGCGTAATGAGAAGAATAAAAGGGCTGGCATTAAAACATTAATGAATATTATTTCGAGCAAGAGAGGCTTATCAGGATCGTAAAAAGTGGCTATTGATAGTCTTTGCCTATCCCATTCAAAGAATGGAAAACACTGAATGAAAATAAGACCTTCAAATGGTACTATAGAGAAAAATCATTGACACACAGACAGCCTCGAGCTATTTCAATCCATAACACTTACTTTGCACTGGTGAAATAACTCCTAACATTCTCAAATCAAAGTTTTCAGGTAACTCTTCTTCGGTATAAGGAGATCCTTTGATTGGTCCGTTAGAACCGTCACGATCCCTGATTGGGGGTCCGCCAGATCTCTTATGCGCTTTGATTGATTTATGAGAATTATTATGCGCCTTTATTGGTCCATTATGTCCCTTGCGTGATTTGATTGGTACCTCGTCGAATGAACGAATGCCAGTTAAATAACGCAACTCGTTATATCGTTTGTCAGCAAATTCGTTAACTTCTAGAACGTATCCAAGATTCTTGCTGTTATGGTCGTTGATGAATCTGTAAATCAATTATTTATAAAGAAAAAAATACGTTAGTATCCATTGTCACGGCAATAAAGGACAAAGGTTCAAATATAGATCCCTGTTGAAACATAATTGATGTTCAACGGGGTTCATCAGTATCAAAACTTTTGATCTGAAAACCAGGCAAGTTAGTAGTTTCTGATGTTTACGAAATGATTCTTTAGAAAAATATTGTAATTATTTAGATATGGTGCTCACTCCCAATTATCCTTGAAAATGTTTTTTCTCATCTCATGCTCTTCACCTTTATACTTCCTGTTGTGATGCTTCTTGTATCTGAAACAACAGCACCTATTATTGACGATACCTTTATTGTCGTCTATGTTCAGCAGTAGAATATCAACAGGTTGATAGTAAAACAAGTGTATAGCGGATATTACGCTGCTGCTGCAGATAATTTACTTTAAAAAATGCATCAGAGAATATTGTCCACAAATTTGGTTTTGTGTTTATTTTTGACCGATATGGTATCAAATAATGTTTAAATATTATTATGGAGACCTGTTAAACAATACTTAAAGACGAGCCAAACAATCAAAACAAATTTTGCTCGTCATATTGTACAGCGCCAGCTGTCACAAGAAGAAGTGAAGACATCAATCACTCTTAATTCATTGTAGAGTTAGTAGATCCAAATTATTTTCAAACAAATGACTGCAAAACATAGGATATTAATGAAAATTTTAAGCATTAAGATGATTTTAACATGACACAGACAACACGTAACAAAGCTTCTTATTTCCTATTTTTAAACGTTTAGCTACACCCTAACAGGGTACACGTAATTTAAATTTTGTCACGTACTTTATAAATGTTTGCTTGTAAATAAGTACTGAAATATTGAAAAAAAAAATTGCTTGATAGCATGGCATGTAATGATGATGTGGTGTAGGTCCTACAGATACGCAAGCGTCATTCACATTTGAGCCATGGGCATTAATTTGAAGATAAGTTGTACAAACTGACAGTTAGTTAAACTGTACAATTAATATAATTTTTATCCAAAAACATTACGGTAAAGATACAGTAGCAGTAGAGCTCCTTGTGAAAGAGTTCATCCAGGGAAGTACTGCCACCTTACCTATTTATGCTGCCAAGCATAAATGTCAGCATTACTGTTTCGGTTTTGAAGGGTAAGGGTGCTGGCGACATTACAGGCACATGTGACTTGTCAACTTACGTCTCAAATACTGCAATTGTTATGGACAGACGTGTGGTTTACAATCAGGCGCACGACTTGTTCGTCCCGTTACTTGATAAAAAAAAGTCTTTACGTAAATATAATCCAAAAATTTTTTATTCATTAGGTTTTACTTTTTATGTTATCATCGACGCATTTTGTTGACTGTTCATGAGAATGGAGGTAAAGTTAATGATGAATAAGATGAGCACGATAATCCAAAATGCACGTTACTTTTTAAAGGCACTTCTGACGTCACTAGGTATTGTCGGATGCAAAAACTGGATTCCTTGATGGAAATCATAGTCAAAGCTCGTGCATTTAATATCTGAAACAATTAAATTAACTTCACAATAGGTATCCCAGATATTAAGCCTCCTACGTAGAAGGAGTTACGATGATCCCTACAATTAAATCATGACCCCCTGATATTATTGTATCGGCATTTTTGTTTGGACATTTTTGATCCAAGATTCAGAAAATTTAAAGGAGTAATAACTCACCTAGCGCTTAAATAGATATTTACGCTTGTCGCTTTAGCATTAAGTAAGTAATTTATTAGCAAATTATGATTAGTAGATCTTTCGTTGCCACTTACCGTCAGGCACTTCAAGATTCTCGACACTAACGTTTTTATTGTAATTGTAGTAATTTATGACTGAATGTCTTCTCAGGGAGCCATCGGCAAGATTATATTTCTTTGTGGTATGGCTGTAATGGACAGAAGAATTAACCAAGAATAAGTTACAAAAACAAGCCCAAAGTCACCAATTTCGCCACTATTGCCAACAACTGCACTATTCAGTTTCAACACGTACATCTTAAAGTTGACAACCGCTCTTCTCTGTCGAGAAAGTAACACCACGATTTCCTCTCTGGTCTCATGGATTGCTAGGGCTAACATGGAAATTTTGTTGAAAATTTTGTATCCTTAAGGTATTTTTCGGATGTAAGTCGCTTATATTTGTTTTCTTCAAACAAACCACCGTAGACGACTGTCGTGCCAGTAAATAGAGACTTGGTACCTGAATTCATGCAATAAGGGCCTACCTTATCAAAAAAGTAGACTACGATTCAACTAAGAATAAGCATGAGTATCGACAGTAAGGCCTGACCATGGGACTGGCAAAGAACCTGAAACGTTGTTGGTTTGTTTGTTTGTTAGATTGGAAAAAATATTATTTCACTTCCATTGTTTTCCTTCACCTTGAAAACTAGTTAATAAATCGGTTGTAGTTCAGGGTAAACTCCATATCTTTTAAGATTGGATTCAGATTTTGTGTGCACTGGTACTCACCGTACTGGTATAGCAATGCCATCGTCTTCATACAAGACTAATTCCTCATCTAATTTTTCGACACCTAATTCCAACGTAGCCTTTGCCCATACTTGGGCTTCTCGACCGTTGTGAGCAAAGCTACCTGCAAATGTCGTAATTTGTTAGGATCGTTAAACCGGCAAACATTGACACCGCATCCTTGAGTTCAGACTCTGCGATGACGAATGCTGTTCCGCGGACGTAGCACAGACTGTCGAACATATACATATCCTGAACAAACATTTCAAATGTCGCACTTAACACGGAGCGCCATATAGCCAAGAAAGCATTCAAACCCAAAATTTGGCGACTTTTATGTAGAGACCATTAATTGAGCAGTACAGTACGCCTCTTTGGTGACAGAGCGGTGCGTAAAACAAGTAAAAAGGTCGAAAGCGAATGTGCATTGTAAAAAAAGGCAAATATATTTATTTTTTAATGCAAAATACACAAACGCTTGGCCACGATCTCAGCGACCATATGGCCAACCATGTGATGTGATTGCCTAGTAAATGAAAAATTCACTCTGGCTTTGACCAGCCTTAAATTGCACCTTTTGAGTCACGCAATGTATTCCATTCCTTTACCATATGCATCAGAAACGACGAAGCAAAGTGCTTCGTGCGTGTGGGTGGTAGTCATTGACATTAGTGTTGTCCAAAACTGATCTTGCAGTCTTGGTCTTGTTCTTGCATTGCACTTAGATCAACCTCAGGCATGGACGTATATTCTGTTCCTTGACCGTTTTTGTGAACACGTGTCCGCGCTTCTTCTATTCTTAGGAATGGGTGATAAGACAATGACATACGAATGGAGTGTTTGAAACTTCTTAGTGACCAAAGGAAGATCGGTGAGGATGGAACTAGAATGTCAATTTGCGATACTAAGGAGTCTATTGCACATGTATTGCCTGTCTTGGGTTATGAGCTGGCTCTCTCTATCGTTCAATCCGAAACACTACGGTGCCGATTTGTTATAGACAGCAGCTATCAGCAGGTTAAACGAATTATTTACTGCTGACGCTGTTATTTGTTAACGTGGTACCTACAATCAAACTTCATTGCTAGTTTAAATGCAATACATCGTGTAATAGTCACATTAATGTGTTAATTACGTATCAACCATGCAATTGGTGACTTTGAATTTCAAACTGCAGTTAGCGCAATATTAAATGCATCTGATTCGTCAGTTTGAATTTCGTACTTCACGTGATTTAAAAGCGATATGATTAGTTGGTTTGAAAATTATAACTATTGCAAATAACTTGCATTTGTAACCATTTCAACCTTCGGTCCACTTTAATAGCAGTAGAGCTCCTTGTGAAAACCTATTTCTACCGCCAAGTAATGTGAACGTTTGGTTTTGAATGTTAAAGGTGCTGGTGAAATAACAGGCACATGGGACTTATAAACTTGGGTGACGGCGCAGTGGCAGTGCCCCTCAGATTTTTATTTAAAGCTCTGACAGGCGTGTCGCTTACCACCAGGCGCACGACTTGTTCGTCCTATCACTTGATATCATAAAAAATTTTACTTCGTTTTAAAAAGTGTTACACTTTGTTTTTTGTATTTCACACAATTTGTTTACGGCGTTTACGTTTATTTGTTCAGATATTAATAATATCTAGACAGAAGCATATACTTGTACATTTAAAAACAAACGAAGCTTCAACGAAGCCTGAATTGATACAGAAAAACTTACTTTGGTATTCGAAATCACTCAACTTCGGCAAGAATTCCACGTTATCAACGTCGTCTGACTCGATATTGCAGATTTGAGTTACTTTTTCATTTTTTTCATTGTATCTCGGATGGATCTGACAATGAAAGGTATATATAATGATATACGGACCAACTTAATGATTTCCTACATCACAGTACCTACCTTAAGAGAATTTTATGTTGCAGTAAAACTCCTTGTCAAAAAGTTCGTCTAAGGAAGTGTTCTGCCACCAAGCAGTAATATGAACATTACTGCGTTCCGGGTTCGAAGGGTAAGGGTGATGGTGAAATTACAGGCACATGGGACTTGTCAACTTACGTGTGCAGTGGCAGTGCCCCTCAGATCTTTATGATTTAAAGCTCTAAATGGCACTGCAACTGTTCTATGTCATGGACATCAAAATGATAAAAATTTGAAAACGGGTGTTAATAACCCTGACCAGGACCAATTTTCTGTTTTTTCCAAAATTCTAAATCAAACACGGAATGTCGTCTTATACCTTTAGAATCCAGAGTATCTATACAAACATTATTGCGGTCATCAAACTTACAACCTTGATCTTGTAGAGGTTTAATATCAAGGTGTTAGCTGCGTCATTACCGTCATAATCTGTAGATACTGTATCAATAATGTTAAAGCATATCTTTCAAATGTCATCCTTAAATTTATAGAGCTGTATATGTACATGAGGTCATACGTCAGAGAACTAAAGTGACCGACATAGCTCGTAAAATCCGTAAGCTTAAGAGGCAGCTCCATATCTTTCCATGTTAGTTTTGATTATAGTGACCCTCCCTACCTAACCTGATACGAGAAGTGCACTATAACCTGTGCGCGCACAGGAACCTTACAAGTTCAGGTTCTGACCCCAGATCAGCCAGTGTACAGGGCTGTCACAGACCTCTGTCAATTGACTTCATAAGGTTCTTCGAGAGGCTAGTGCCTCGGGTGTGCCGCCCCGGGTGCACGTACAGTAACCTCCCAGCACACTTCCCGTTGCGCATTGCACAACTAGCGGTTGCCACCGCTAAGCCGTCGACTCTGAGTCCACTACCAAATCTCCTCCAGGAGGGTTGATCGCTCGATCGATCCAGAACAAGTCGGCTCCATTAGCGCCATTGGCCATTGGCATAGTCGTCTTTCCAATGGCGACCACGTCAAAGAAAAAGTAAAGCGTTGGACGTCCTGTGCCAAGATGGACGGACGACCTGAGAAAGGTGGACGGCAGCGGCTGGATGCGGGCGGCACAAGATCGGGAGAGTTGGCGTGCTCAAGGGGAGGCTTATGTCCAGCAGTGGATGCGTGTAAGTTGATGATGATATGTACGATTACTCAAACTTACCATGTAGATCATGGTGTACGCCGTGTCAGCACCGTCGTAATAGTCGTAATATTCTTCGCCGAGTCCATAGTAATACCTCTTAACGGTGCCATTGTACAGATCAACACGTGTTTTATTTAGTTCTGTGCTATACCTGCGCATAGAATAGTTGGGACTATTAATGAATTATCAATTCATTCTTTTTCATTCATTCCGTTTAGAAACCACACACACTATATAACTACAGGCCTATTGCTTAACTGAGTTGGTTTCTAAGTAGCTGGGCAGTACGGGAGGAGTGACACAAGGGATAATTGTTAACAAGATATTTCTGACGATGATAATAAATTGATTGAAAAAAGTGCCTACTAGGCACATGGGACTTGTCAACTTGTGTCAGGATGACAGGCGCAGTGGTAGTGCCCCTCAGATCTTTGCAATTTAAAGCTCTGAGTGGCACTGTAACTGTTATAGACAGGCATATCATCAGGCACACGCCTTGTTCGTCCCGTCACTTGATGTTATAAAAAAAAATTAATCAATTGTTGTTATGTGAAACTATTTCATTGATTTAATTGAAATGAATAGACACGCCTTTTAGCACGTTTTTCAATAAACTTGTTATTGAATATTGCTAGAAAAAATCTTGTTGAAATTATCCCTTGTGCAGTACGATATACTCACTTACTCTTCCGGCACCGCCCAACTACTTCAGGAACTTTTCTTAGCAGTAGAGCTCCCTGTGAAAGAGTTCGTCCAGGGAAGCACTCCCACATTACCTATTTTTACCGCCAAGCTGTAATGTGAGTATACGTTCCGGTTTTGAAGGGTAAGGGTGCTGGTGAAATTACAAGCACATGGGACTTGCCAACTTATGTCTCAGGGTGACGGGCGCAGTGGCAGTGCCCCACAGTTCTTTGCGATTGAAAGCTTTAAGTAGCACCGCAAATGTTATGAACAGGCGTGTTGCTTACCACCAATCACACGTCTTGTTCGTCCTGTTACTTCATATTGTAAAAAAAATCGACTCAGTTAAGCGGTAGATCTGTACAATACTTTGAGGCTACAATATTAGACATAAAAATGGAAAGCATAATATACCTCATTCGCCATTCATATTTGAAAAAAATAAAAATGAAAATTTAATCATATAACGAATATAACAGGCAGCGTCTGCGCTGTGCTGTTAAGGAATCCGTCATCCACTCAACTTACCGTCGCCGTCGTCTCCCTGAAAGTGCTATGACGCTTTTTCAGTGGATCCGGTAACAAAAATACACGTGACACGGCACATAGGAGACGTATAACTAGATTACATTATCATGGGCATCATTTGTATATAACTATATTTATTTAAACATTTGTACACATATCATATTTAATATAATTATGATTTTTTTTATAAAAACGAACTAACCTCAAAAGTTCGTGGATTATGTAATTCATATTTGTTAAGTTTTATTGAAATCAATTACCGGAAAGTGCGCGAAACCGGATTTAGCCCCTAGTTTGCCACCCTTTAAAGTGGAATATTATCTTCAAATCTATATGGGACCAATTCTGAGGTAACCTCTTTCCAACAAAAACAGAATCATCAAAATCGGTTCACAAATGAAAACATACACACAAAAACAATACAGTCTAATTGAGAACCTCCTCCTTTTTGTAGTCGGTTAAAAATAGTAAAGTAAATAGGATAATATTTCTCATATCATATCAACAATGATGATAGCACAGTAGCACAACAGTTGCTTCTAAATTAACACGACAATTGTTCGAATTTTACACTTGATGTACGTGATTCAATGTATTCAAAATTTTAAGCTACGTTCATTATTGTTGTACGTGGTAATATGACCCTTAACAATAAAGTTACAATGTTGTACACACATACTTATAATTTACGCCTTTTCCCCATCCGTCCTGACACATATCTTTCGCCTCATCAACACGCATCAGTGTTTTCATACACGCTAGTCAGTTAAAGGTACTCTTGATGTGGGCCTTCTTTAGGATGATTTTACTCACTCACGCTCGCCTTATAAATCTGTTTCATCAATCCTTTCATTCATTCTCTCTACATGTCTGAACCATCTAAGCATCCCTTTCTCTATCTTTGTCACTACATCTTCTTCCACGCCGCAACGCTCTCTTAACACTCTGTTCCGTAATTTATCCATCAGAGTCACTCCAGCCATATCTTTCAAAGCTCTCATTTCTACTGCATTAATTTACTACCGTGTAAGAACCAGCACCCCGTCATACACAGCCAGTCGTGCCTTTTTAGACACTTTCAGGCTGCTCATGAAGGCACGCAACGCACCATTCACCTGATTTTTTTTTAACAAATGTAAGCGTGCATTTGACCTTCATCTCACGTAATGGAAAGTGACGATGAGGTCGACAATGGAGCATGCACACCTAAATAATGCCTATTAACTCTCGCTTTGAAAAGGGCTAAGTCAGGGAACAAGTCTGCTGGCAGGGAATTCCACTCCAAAACCGTTCGCCGTATTAATGTGGAAGCATAACGCTTCGTGCGAATCTTTGGAATATCCACAACGTAGGGGTGGAATCCAAGTTTCCAGTCCCCCGATTATGGAACGACGAAGGCGGAATTTAAAAGATTTCCTGTGTTCACTCACCTTTCAATGTCGCTTTCAAGTTTTCCATCACTGTAGTCTTGTTAAAGTTTTTTCGTCACTGTATTTTTGAAGGGCGATAAGATTCATTAATACACTTACCATACTTGAAAAGGTTTGACCACTCCGCTGATCAAGTTGATTTCCTCAGCTTCGAAGTAATATTCATCAGCGAAATCCGTAATGGGTCCTGTAAAGAAGCAAAATTTCATAAAGAAAACACTATAATCATTCGATAATCCAAACTGATTCATACTTTTGCCTCCTTTTTGACTAAAAATGATAAATAGTGACAAAATAAACCGACCGTTCTCAAAACAGCAAATTTTTGTATGTACCTTTCCTATAATATAACATTAAACATACTACAAATCGAGTTCTTAGGTTTTCGCGATTGTTACACATACATGTTGCGACATGTATGTGTAACATGGTCACGGTTGACATGTCAACCGTGACCATGGGACCTGTAAAGGGCCCGAAACGTCGGTTTGTTTGAAAAAACAAATATACGCGATTTAAATCCGGAAAAATAGTTTCATTTCCTATACTACAAATGTTTTTTTATGTAGTTTATGCTTTCATCTAAATGTATTTTTAAATCTTTTTATTTTATTTTTCTAAATGTTCTCCAATTACCGTACCTGTCCGGACGCTACCTTTGTCTGTAAATTCACGTCTCGTTTTAATCCGGAATGGATTACACCAGTGCCATTTAAGATCCTGGGTGGTGAAATACATAAAAATATAACCCACAACTGTTCTTTTAACTGTTCTTGTGACGGTATAATTACCATCGCCATTCCTTTTCAAAGTGTGCATCCCTAAACCACGAAATATTTGCAAGTCACTATTGCCTGAATCGCGAGCTGTCAGCCGCGTCTCGGCACTCGAATTTCGATCGCAATTTATAAGTATCTTACCTATTTACCACAACTTTGGTTTTAAAATTTTCTAATTCTAATAACTTTTCGGAATTTTCGTGCGAAATTTGATTTGATGAGCTTTTCGGTGAAGGAAAACCATCGTGAGGAAACCTGCACACGTG